TTTTGGAATTTTCCCCCGGGGCCAAAACCAAAAAAGGGAAAAAATTTTTTTTTTTTTTTTTTTTTTTTTTACATGCTATCCACAGCTGTGCTGTTGTGGTAGAACCACTCTGAACAAAATGAAACCTGGAGGTGCGGGTATTAATTTAGTGCCGTGTGAAACCGCCATGGCAAAAAAAAACAAAACACAGAAAAAACTATCGAAGAACAACTCACTCTGGGTCTGCTGTGTGTTGCCATAGCAACTGACTTACAACAATGGTGCTAACGTATCAGAATTTGACACCAAAACACGCCAACATTTCCCACACAAAGAACAGAAATTCAATCTGTTTTATGTTTGTTTTGCAGTAGAGCAGGTGTTCAGCTAATTTAAACACTGATGATGTGTCAGTCTGTGCGTGTCGCCTTATTTTTTCGTCTTTTAATAATTTAACTGAACCTAAACACCAAATTCCACAGCACATCTGCATGAAGGTTGTCATAGTCAAGCTAGCATAACTGACCTACTTCCCTCTCATTATTGTTTTTTTTAAAAACTTTTTACTGACCTTATCTAGCTGTAGTGATGCCAATCGGTAGCAAAGCTCTGTTTGTTTTTCTTTTATACATCAGGTTTACATTTAAGATTTAGTCCTTCATTTTGACAACTGGACAGCTAAAACCAATGGCAGCCATTGCAAGAAAGCAATTTTGCCCTCCATCAATAAATTATCGCATAATAAAATTAAAACTGAATAATTTCCATTGACATGATTTGTTTCTTTTTTCTCTTTCTACCAAAAAGAGAGAAGTCTTCAATTCACCAAACACAACAAATTTTGTTTTTTTGTTTTTTTGAAGGACAATTTTGTTTACGAAGGCTTAAAAATTATTTTGTGTTCTTTATTTATTTAAAATGCCTTCAAGTTTCAGTGTTAAATGTTCATTAGGATTTAAAGTTTACTGATCTTGTAGAATCTGCTCTTGCATTATTATTTTTCCATTTCCATTATGTCACTTAAAAATGGTCCCTAAACAGCAATATTATTAATTTATCATCATAACTTCTGGAACAATTTATCACCTAGGAAACTATTGTGACAGACCTCGTCCAGCAGAGGGCAGCATCTTGCACACATTACATCACACTGCAATCTGAATAACTCTTCATCTCTTCAGGGCGACTCAGGGGGGCCGCTGGTCTGCAGCATGGTGAATGGCACCTGGGTGCAGGCGGGAGTGGTGAGCTTTGGACTTGGTTGTGCGAAGCAGAACAGGCCGGGTGTTTACACCAGGCTGACCAGCTACTCCGACTTCATCCGCTCCACAGTAGCAGAGGTCCAGCTGTACGGAGGAGCGCATCGGAGTGTGTGTGGCTGTGTTGTTGTGCTGGCCAGCTGTCTGTCTATCTTCCTGATGCTGACTTGGAGATAAAACAGTTTTTTATATTTAAGAGTTGGAACAAGAAACCCACTATGAATGAAGGAGTTAAATTGTTTCTGATAGTTTTAATCAAATTTGTAATTCTTTTATCCTGTCTGCACACTAAGCCATATGGAACTTTGTAACCCGTTCTTGTTTTTAATGAAAATTTATTTGATTTTAAATACAAATGAGAAGTTTAATTTCGAATTAAAGAAAAAGTTTGATTAAGATGTTTGACTCTTCTGTTTTTTGTTTTTTTTTAGCTCAGAATGGAAATTAAAGCTGGACATTATGACTGAAGACTTATAATAAGCATTTCAAATAGGTCTGCAAAATCAAGGTTGTAGTGTTTTTGGTGTAGTTTCTAGTGAAAATATCTTGAAATAAGACAAAACTATACAACATTTTAGTGAGATATAGAGCTTTGTTTTAAGTAATTCCTTAACATTGATGAAAACGTTCTGGTCAGTTTATCTGCCAGTAGAACTAGAACTTTTTCATCAGTATTAAGGAATTATTTACTTAAAACATCTTGCTTAAAAGTTACTTTTAAGTTTCAGGTGTACTAAGATATTTGCACTAGAAACTAGACCAAAAATACTCGACAAGATTTTATTTTTGCAGTGCAATAATTAGTTTCTTTTAAATATCTGAAACTCTACCAAACTGGTGACATTTTTGTCACTGTCCTGTTTTCACTTAATGTTTTATTTTTAAGGAGTTATGAGGCAGAGTGGTAAAACCTTAAACTGCTGCTGTGCCAGTTACTTAACTGGTTGTTGCTAGGTAACCAAAGTGAGTTGCTAGGTAACCAGTTAGTGATTTGCTAGCTGGCCATCAGGTTGAACAGCTAAAGCATTTCCTCTGCCTAAATTACCCAGAATGCTGTGCGGTTCTGGATCGGAGTTCAGTGAAATTGAATATTTTAATCAGATGTATTATCTATTGATATTGATCAGCTATATACATTATTGATTTATTGTTCATCCATAGTGGAAATAACAGATTTTCTTCATGCAAAATCATCAAATTTTATTTATAAAACTCATGTAGCACCTAGCGGCAGCCGACAGGTGGTGCCGAAATGTCTTTGTTACAGAAAGAGCTGCATGATTTAAGAAATGCTCTACACGTTGCCTATGGAAGGAAACCTTATGGACTTGATGCATGTTGCCCAAGTTGGTGGTTAAAACACAAATGCAAGTGTGTTTGAGGAGGGAGGTCAAGTCAGGCATCATGGGGGATGGTATCAGAGAGGATCATGGGTGAGCCGAGCTGCAGCTCCTGCTGCAGCGACTCGAGGTCAGCCGGCGTCATGCGGTGGACCTCGCTCCAATCAGATAACAGGGAGGCAGACAGAGGCGCCGAGTCGAAGCTGATGGGGAAAAAAAATGCAAAAAGTCAATATTTAAATAGGGTTTTTTATTTAAAGAGGTGTTTTACATGTATTACAGATCATCAACACTAGACGTGTTGGTAATATCCACTGAATTAACCATTTTAAAGCTTAATGTGTTGCTTATAAGTATGAGATTGTTTAATCATCTACTATGGGCAAACGAGGAGCCATGCTGTTTGCACATAGTTCAGCTAACTGGTCTGTAGAGTTTACCAACCTGGGAGAACAAAAACAATGTTGGACCAAGAGAGTAAAACTTAATCTAATCTAGTGGCTCTGTTTTGTAGATTTGATATGATTTGTTTCCCTTTAAAACCCAAAATCTGTCCTCTGACCACAGATTTAAAGAAGAGCATCAAAAGCAAATGAGGTGGATTAGCAGATAAGGGTTTTTAAGTGTCTTCGGTCAAAGGCCTTTTCAGATTCATTGCAAGACGGATGCTGGAGATCCTTCCTGTCCACAACAACTCTTTAAAGATACTTCAGTGACAAGAGTTAAAACATTTAATTTCACTTCGCCATACATAAACTATAATTTAATTGTCCTGACTGAACGTCGTCTTTTAGGGAAACATTTTCTCTGACAAAAAAATAAAGTTTCTTCTTTTGAATTCTGTCATAAATGGAACAAACATCCAGTAACTTTTACTCAGATTCAGATATTTTAGGAAGTTTGTCAATGCAGCCAGCAGTTTGAAACAACCACATCCTGCTGCTGTTGCTATGACAACGGTAGTTACAGCAACGCTGTAGCAGTTGCTGTAACTACTTTAGCAGGACTGTAAACTAATCCTCTCTAACACAATCATCTGTTCTGGATCTGGACTGACTTCTTCTCTTTTTGAAAAAGTTCTACTTTGTTTGTCTCCATAACATTTTGTATGTTTTTTTTATTACGCGAATAAAAATAAAGGAATAAGAAATGTATTTTAAACTATTATTTTTTTTTTTTACTTCTTTCACTGTGATGTTTTTGGCCCTCATGTCAAAAGGTTAAGATGCTGCTTTAAAGAGACTGGTTGCAGTAAACCTTCATACAGTTATAATGTTTAATCTGAAATGAAGCTTTTTATTAAAATTCACAGTACATCTGTTTGGTCCTTGTGTCAGGTCACCATCATTTAACTGTGATCTACTTGTTTTTCCATCCACTGCTCTACTTTCTTTAGTTTTACAGTTTTTGGTTATTTAAACATTTAAAAATATGAAATATTTTGGTTTTCATTGGAGCTCGTTATTGACACAACTGCATTTTTGCCAATGTTTAAATAAAAGGGGTGATTATTTACATTTATGCTATTGTGAGCATAAACGCTCACAAGAAAAACTGCTGTGTTTTTGTTTTTAACCACAACAGCAACGTTTGGACACAACTGATACTAATCAGCTGCTCTGTTGCAAATCCACATCCTGATGCTGTGGTGCAGATTTAGAAACTGCTGATTATCATGGAAACTGGACACAGTTCTAGCAGACATGCTCCTCTGTTAACCCTTTTTAGCAGCATTGCACTGAGAAGGAGCTCATAATAAGCTCAGCAGATGCGCAGCTCCATCGGGTGTTTGCTAATTGCTGCTGGCTAGTTTGAAGGAGCAGAGTGGGGGAGGGGTGCTTCGTGAAGCAGGAGCTCAGAGGCTTGGAAACTGGAGCTACGTCTTGAAGGCGGAGCTATGTCCACCCTGATGTTTTGCACAGCTGAGTGGTTGCCATGGAGATTAAATGATTTCTCAAACATGAATGAAAGAATCAAAGCATGTTTTTGATGAGGGAATGACATTATGACATTATAACATAATGTAAACCTGAAAATGTCAAGTTTACATAATACATCTCCTTTAAGTGGTAAAACGAAGGTGATGTAAAACAATCCCAGGTTTTAATAATCCTTACTAGACAGAAAAACTAAGGCCTGTCCTGGACTCACCTGTCCCGGTCACCGTGCTGCAGCTCCGCCATAGACTGGTTGAAAAGGTCATCCAGATCGAAGCCCACCCCGTACCCTGCCCCGCTGCCCTTTGGGGTAACAGAGAACATGGGGGGCAACGGGTCCTCTACCTGGCAGAGGGAGAATTATTACAAATTATGAGCCCTTCATAAAAACTAAAACCTGGTGTAACCAGGAAGAAAACTGCTCACCTGTGACTTTGACAGCTGCAGCGTTACCGTATGGATGTCAGGGGCAACAGAGGGCCCTTGTTGCCCCGTGTCTGTGAATCCTAAGCTGGGGTGTGGCTGGGAGGGAGGAACCGCTGAAGTCCCACAGAGATGGTTTATACTCTGTGCTGCTGATTTCTCACCCAGAGAAGAGCAAAGCTTCTCCATGAGTCCGGGACTCGCAGTCAACGGGTTGAGGTTACTCTGACCTCTGACATCCACGCTGCCATTTGTCTCTCTGATGGCTACCGGAGGAGCTTTGGGCAGAAAGCTCTCGAGGGGGAGCAGGTGCGGCTGAGGTTTGGGGTCGGGTGGCGGCCGGCTCTGCAGGAAGCTGGACGCCGGTTGCGGCGTCCTGTTCGGCTGCTGCGTTGGCCTCGTTTCCAGCTGCTGGCCGCTCCAGTTCCCCACACCGGCGAATTCAGTTTCCCCATTGCCCTCGGCGTGCGGCTGGAGTGTGTCGTTTTTCACATATCCACCAGTGACGGCCATCATGTCGATGCCGCCGCGTACAGCGTCTCCTGGAGGCTTCCTCTGGCTCACGGAGAAAGGCAGAGTGAGCTGCTGGGTGGTGGCTGGAGGCGGAAACAGCCCCTGCTGGTTCGGTTTTACTTGAGAAACTAGCTGCTCATGAGGCTGACTTTTCCTCGCCTCCATGTTGGTTTTATTGTTCTCGCTGATTCTTTGGGAATTCAGGTTACAATCCTTAGTTTTCCCGTCGTTACTAGCAGTTTGGGATTTGTCGCTGCAGCTGTCGATCATCTTCGTCCAGCGCTGCAAGAGGCTTTTGTCATTGTCGCTCAGCAGGACGCCGCCCAGCGAGTCGCCCAGTTTCTTCTCCTTTCTTTCCTTCTCCTTCATTTTTCTCTCCCTCTCTCGTGCTCGTTCCTGCCTCTTCCTTCTTTTCTCCTCTCTCTCTCGCTGACGTTCCTGGGCCGTGACGGGCCGCCGCGACTCGGGAACAGAAGACACCACAGACGAGACGCTCCCTCCTCCTGCGCCTCCATCAATGCCCAACCCAGAGCCGCCTCCGTCTGCAAGAAGGAACTTAAGTTCAGTTCAGTTTAAACTTAGGAATGTTGCTCTTAGTCATTAGAGTTTGTTGTATTCTAATGAACATTCAACACCGAAACTGGAAGAATCTAAAATAAATAAACAAAACAACAGAAAAAACAAAAGAACTATGAAGTCTCTGTAAACAAAGTTGGGATAGTTGAGACCAAAGCACCAAAAACTTTATAGTGAAAGTATTTTATTACACTTGAAATAAGACAAAACTAATTTATTAAAAGTATTTTTCCAGCAAGATATAGTAGCTTGTTGTAAGTCAACAATTTCGAAAAAGCAGATTATTTCACTTGACAAGGAGAAATTATCTTTTATAAGTAAATTTATCTGCCAATGGAACAAGAACTTTTTCACCAATGTTATTGAATTGTTGACTCAAAATAAGCTGCTATATCTTGCTGAATAGATACTTTTAAATTAGTTTTGTCTTAATTCAAGTTCACTCGGATATTTGCACTAGAAACTAGACTTGGTAAGATTGTGTGTTTTTGCAGTGAAGACTGAAGACTTTTGTCATCCATTTCTGGTAGAAAAGGTGAAAAAAGGGAATCAATAAATGATGCAAATGGAATTTTAATTTATGATGCAATTCACTGAATTAATTGAT